ATCTACATCACCACAACATACTATTTTAGCTTGGGCATTGATAGTATGAGCAATTTTGTTAAGAAATTTTTGGAAGTAATATTTTCATCAAAATCAAAGGTGTTGATTCTATATTATACAACAATTTTCTTTCTTCTCCTCTCTTCTTTCGTAATATGCTACAAGTTTTCTTCTTCTTCTTTACTTTTAATATAATATTAACTTGGTTTCGTTTTATCAAGTTATTGTCAGTGAACATTGCATTTCACTTCATTCATGCTGTGGTTACACGACTGCACTCTCAATTTAATGTATAGTTGATTTATGTGTAAATCTATTGCTAAATATTATCAGTAACATTAATTTTCCAGGAGCCTTCCTAACCACAAGTTGAGTGGCCCCATTTCACCTGATATTGGGAAGCTAGATAGTCTGCAATTTTTGTATGTCTCTTTCACTTCTTCTTTCACGTCTTATTACTACGCCTACCACTGATGATAAGATGAACTAAATTTGTCTAGAGCTCTTCATGGCAACAACTTATATGGGGAAATCCCTCCAGAACTGGGGAACTGTACACAATTGCAATCAATGTAAGTAGAGCTACCGGTTCTTGCTTCTGAAGATTATGCTATTTTCAGCATTACTGGAAGCTTAGTTTTAATAATTTTAATCCTGAAAACATAGTACAGAACGTGGTTTTGTTACTTGAAGTATTTAATTGATGATTGTAAATTTGATTATTTTAACAATTTGCTCCTCTCTACTAAAGGATCTGCATCAAGGGACCATATTGAGTTTATTTAAAACTTCACAGCTTTGGTTAACTCTAAGAATGAAAACTAGATTAATGAATATTCTTGTTGGCGAGTAGTGTAATAATAGTATTATGTCTAGTATGTTATGTTGGTCTTAATGTTGCCCTTCCCTCATCCATTCATAAAACAAAAGCTAGGGAAACTGATTTTTAATTTCTCAAACTGTCTAAACATTAAGCCCCTTGAGTCTGATGGATTCTAGCAGAATGACCAGGCTTGGCTGTTTCATTTGACTCAAGAAGCTAATTTGTCTTACTTTTACTCAAATTATCGAGTGATGACAAGATAAGCTGAAAATGGAGGATTCATAATTGGAATATTTTCTCTTCACCATCATTTTTTACTTTTCTGTATCATTTATTTAATTATTTTTTTAAAATTTTTTGTCAAGTGAAACATTCCCGATTCTCTTTTTATACAGATTTTTGCAGGGTAACTACTTAAGTGGATTGATTCCCAATGAATTGGGAAATCTATCTCAGCTTGAGAATTTGTAAGTAATTTTTGAAATTGCTTACTTGTTAGTGTTCGTATTCTTAATCTTAGCTTTCCAAACTCTATTGATAAGAGGTTTAATTTCATGTGAAAATAACATAAAGCTTTCACGTGCTGCCAGGAGCTTTACAGGCTCTATGTGAAAGGCCCTTATCTGATTTCTTCCCAATTAGTTTAGCTGTATCATGGAATATCAAAAGGGAGGAAATTACCTACTCCTGTGATTAAACCGGATATGGATCAGCCTGAATGAACACTTTTGCATAATGTTCTGGCTGGAGGAATTTTTATTTTATTTTATTTTTCTTTCCAGTGATTGAACAAGAGTAATTTATATTGGGATGGTGGACCTAAAGGAGCCCGTTAATATAATAATTGGTGACGTGGGTCAAAATGTAACAACTATATATATTACTGAGTGAACGGTCAATAAGATGCAGAGTAAAAAGAAGGAATGCTTGAAACCTCAAGTATTCATGAACGTTTTTAAAGCTAATCGGAGTTAGTGAATGTAGACTTCCCCCCCAAAAACCTTTTTTATTTTCATATTTCCTTTCTCCTTTTGCTTTCGGTGTTACTTGAGAAGATCCTGTGTATTGATTATCCAAGAACCAAGGTTCTTGATTATATTTTGTCAAGACTAATAAGAAATTGTAGGCAAATACTGCATACTTCTGAACCTCTATCTACACAGCTGTGCCTGATTATCTTAAATGATGGATGATGAGAAATTTCTTGTACACAAAATATGCATGCTTAAATGATAACATAGTTTTCTTGAGGTTAATTGTATATTATCCCATTTTTTTGCACTTGCAGGGACCTCTCAAGCAACTCTCTCAGTGGAAGCATTCCTGCTTCACTTGGAAAATTAAGCAAGCTTTC